TTTCTAAAAAAAAAAAACAATTACACAAAAAAAAATATAATTTTAAATTTCATGTTATTATAAAAAGATTATAATTTCTTGCTTTTAACACTGTCTAAGCATAAGCATATATCATATGTATATATTTTCATATACAAAAAATAAATATACATAAAAACCTAGTAATTGATATCATTATTATTTAGATTTAGATATTTAATTTCTAGAATCATATCATTGCTAAATTATCGTTATTATTTTTTTTATTAATGGTTTAAGATTAATGATTTTTATTGAAATAAAAATCATTCAATTTAATGCATACTTTAATAAATAATACAAATATATAAATATATAATATAAAAATATTTTTATAATTATATTATATGAAAAATTATTTAAAAAAAAAACAAATAAATATTTTTAAAAATGAAATAATAAGATTTATAAAATATAAATAAAAAGTGCATTATATGTGATTTAAATATTTTATTATTATATTTAATTTTTATCAGCAATTAAAATTTTTATTAAAAACATTGCATAATAACATTATAATGACAAACTTTATGAAGACATTAACAAATTAAGCAATAGAAATTATTTTAATATATAAAATTAAATAAACTAATGTGGATTTTTTCTTTTTTCTAAATTTTATATATATTCATTTAAAAAAAAATCATATTTATAGAATATTATCTACATATATCTATATATTCATATATATAAAATTATTATTATTTATTTATAATTATATTATGTATTACATGTACATATACATACACACATATACATGTGTGAAAACACATACAGTATGTATATATATATATATATATATAATATATATATAATGAATAAAATATAAGGTAAACTAGTGAATCTCATACCTTTATCTTTGGAAGTTGATAGTTGTTTGTCATTTGTCACAGATTCCTGAGACATTATGTTCTTCACCACGTTTATTCCTCGAATAAGGTAAATTCACAGCACACACTATACGGACTTTATTTTTTTTAGATCTTTTATGTGATCTATCTACGTCTCATACGCCATACACACGTACATCTAATTGAAGAGTTTATATTCTAGCTATATACCTTAGTACTGTTTAGTATCACAGACTGGTTTTCCTTTCTATACTCAGTTTTATCTTTAAGCAAGGAAAGAATTGCGATCGGACAAAATGATAGTAATGTCGATTGCCAGTAACAGTTCCAATACGATGGCTTGGCCACTCTCACTCGTTGAAAAGAGAAATGAAGAAAAAGTGTTTACGTGCTACGAGCTACGGGTTTACGCACAGTTATATAGAAGATAAACGCAAAAAAAATTAATTGCGTGAGATTCGAAGCACGTGTTTCCGAATATCATTTCATTACATCGACACGTCCTCCGTCAATTATTAATAATCCATCGATTTATCACACAAAATGTACACACACAACATTAGTTCACTGCTATACAAAAATAGAAAATGGCGCACGATCCCCACTTCCGCCGTTGTTTCTCACTGCTTCCTTGATCCACAACGGAGAGCGTTCTAGCTTGCTACAATCTTATAGATAGTACTACGTCATCTTTACATGCGAACATTGCATTAATCGAGCGCCATCTTCTTAAGGATTTATCGCAAAGGAGCATTTACAAAATTTCTAGAAACAAAATTTAATAAAATCCTAAATTATTTTTATAAATAAAAGATACAATATTTTGTATTATTACTATTTTTTAATGTATAAAAATATTGAAAAATTATAAAAATAATTTGACAAAAATCATTAATTTTGATATAAGTATTATAGCAAAATATTAATTTTATATGAAATTAGTTACTTTTAAAATATCAAAATAAAAAATAAAATATATTTGTAACAAACTTATCAGTATTCTAATAAATAATATATATAATTTTACTATAAAAATAAAATTGAAGTTTAAAATTGAAGTTTAGGCGCGAATATTAAAATAATTCCACGATTCAATTTTGTTTAATTCAATTTTTGTATAATAGAGGAATTTTTATAATTCTTTATTCTTCGAAATGTATTATTACATATTTTTGAAAATTACTATAAGCATTTATTTATTACAACAAATACTACTAATAATATATTTAGTATTAGCCTATATATACATATAATAATGTAAATATCTTTATATTTACATTAAACAAAGAAAAACAAAAATTTATAAAAATATTTATAAGATTTTATTATTATTTAATAAAATATAGTATTATTGGGAAAAAAGTG